TTTATAACTTTGTATGGACATAATATCTAGTGGATATTGGGCATACAAATTTTATTGTTGAGTGTAGAAAAGAGAGATTTTGAATTTGAGAAGATAAAATCCATACATGTAATGAATTTTCAAGTGGATAAGTAATATTCTGTTTATCATATATTCACCTATGAGAGCAAATTATGACAAAATGACTTTTATTACTTCCATATTATATATATTGGAGAAACMGCAAATGTGTCATTTTCRCTAGTGAAAATAACTTTTCAAAAGAACAAAATATGGGTACATGTACATGTATTCCAGAGATAATTATATGACAAACAGTAATAATACACAGTTCAGGACTGCTCTTGTTTTTAATAACCAAGTTATTAGAGTGTGTAAACAGTAGAAACCATGAMTTCCCCACTAACCTGACAAGATACTAGAGCTCCAATAGACCATCCAATCAAGATAATGGGACGGTTAGGAAAGTGACTTCTCAACTAAGATAAAAACACAAACTTTATTAGAAAAACATCACCAAAATTATACTTAATAAATATTTCGAAACAAAGTATATTTGCAAACAGCAAACACAGTTTTTTTGAGTAAACTGCTAATTCATTCATTAGGTACAATATCAGTGCTGCGGCCAAATCTTTATATTATGTGGTTGCACAAGAGATTTATTTTTTTACGACTTTAACTTTTTCATGCAAAATAATCCACTCATATTTTATCTATTACTTTTGGGCATGTTAACACTTTTGCAGCACAATTGATTTTTGCATTGCAATTGCCACATGGAATTTTTGCTAAAAAAATGTTCAAAATTTACCATTCCTACCATCCAAAGTGCACATGCTCAAGAGCACTGTTTTATCAATGAAGTTGCACCACAATTTACACATAAAATTTGAGGTGGGTGATAGCAAAGTAGCGATTGTTGCTCAACAATTGCCATGCAAAAATCACAAGTGTAAACAAGCCTTTACAATGCATTTAGAGTTGGGTAATTACTAGATAGTGCTAAATAGAACTATCTAATCTACACTATGTTTTAACACTTGCAAAATTCTTGACGAAAAGCGTATTTCAATTTTATTATTAGAAAAGACACAATTTACWTGTACAMCACTGYCYCACCTCAAGAACCTTTGTTCTAACAGCACCAATGATATGATCAAGACATTGACTGATAGTAACACCACTGCCTCCATTGCTAGTATGCATTGTAACTGGTACAACTTTACCAAGAACTGACAATTGATTGTGCCAAAATCTGGTHCGTTTGGATGAGGTCCCTGACCCTGTGTTGGTGGTTGGTCCACTAGGGACAATAAGAAGTAGGGGGGAGCCAGGAAGCTTACGCTGTCGTACAAAGATAATTTTTAGTGATGTGTGATGACAGAAACAGCTTGAACACTACAGATACTTACTGTTTTATGCTCTGTCACTAGACCATGTGATGGATCCCACGGACGTTTTAATAGCAAGCTCAAGGCCTCAGCATTGGCTGCTGGTCCTCTACGCTGTGAGGAATGGTTGGAYACAATCCTGTCTACAAGCATTGGGGCCTGGAAAGGAAATGAAGTTGAAACAATTAAAAAAATTATCAATTCCTCTCTTGTGAGAGATTGTCAATATGAAAAGCTTGAATTTCACTATTAGAAGCCGGCAACTGGCGATCTGGTATCTATTTTGACCTTCACGGTGGAGATTTTTTTAAAATCATGGTTGTTGTAACCTTTGTGGCCCCTTATTATACACATACTGTACTATTTCAGAACATGAGCTGTCTCCAAATATAATAAAACCCCTGAAAAGGAGAATAGTGTTTTTCATTGGAAAATTCCTTACAGTGATGAAATTCATTAAAAATCTGTGTAAATGGTAACTAACAATAACTGTGTCTGCTTAGAATCACAAGTGTAGCGAGTGTTTTTTTTTTTGCTTCACGAGTATTTTTCAACGCCCACCGTGTTTACAGTTGTATATCAGAGGACAGAGACACAAGAGGCTGTTTTATAGCTCTTTTATAAACTTCTTCATTTTTCTACCAAAACAAAACAAATTTTTCCAGTAAGCCGTTTCTCTGTCCTCTGATATAAATATGGTCATCAGCCAATCAGAGCATGCATTACATCAAAAATTTCTAGAAATGATAATAAACCTAATTATTATTTTTTGGTCCAGTATCCTAGTTATTTGCACGCTGTAATTGGCTAGCGTGCGGTCCGGTTTTTCACAATCTGCCTGGTCCGACGTTATCCTGCAGCTATGTAGGTTGCGAGCAAGTTGTATAAAATACAAATAAAAAAAATGTTATGTACTGGCTATAGGTCGGTCCATATAGAAAAACACTGCCCTCGGTCTTTAATGAATGGACCTCGGTGCGCTTGTTCTGCACTGTCAAGACCTCGGGCAGTGTTTTCCTATACGGACCTCCCAGCCGGTAAATAACATATATACCTTAGCCCTGAGTGTTTGTAAGACATCAAGATAACAGGCAAGAAGTGGGATACTCAATCCATCCACCAACGTTGTATGCAGCCATGACGTCAGTTTGATATCCCATTCAATAGCACTGAGGATTTGACGGAATCTTTTGGTTGCCTTGTCTGTTGCTATTCTTCTTTTTACTGGTTCATTAGCAGTCTTAATAGAATTAGCAATAATACARAGGTTAGGAATTCTCTAATTAGCACTGTGGAGAACAGAAAATAGACTCTTGACTAAAAATACAAATACAACACATCAAAATGCAGCCACTGATAATATATATATGTTATATATGCATACTTCTGTGCCACAATCTTTCCAATTAGCATCTTATCTCAGACAAGATATCAGAATCCTACAGCTGTAATTGGTTAATAAGCAAGACAAAAGTATGCAAATAGAGCTGATTTCGTATGAGTGGGAAACGGACAGTACTGTACTGTGACCGTAATATCGTACAGTAGCCAAATTCTAGTGCCCCATTGGTTCACCAAAATTGTGCAGGCCAGGTCCGGTAACTGTGCGGTAATGGTGTCCCACTCATACGAAATCCGCTCTATATTAACAGTTACAGTACCACTGTGCTGTAAATACATTATAAATGTATCAACATACTTGTTCATATGCTAGCCTTGCAAGTCTAAGTGTTGACAGGACCTTGATCACTTTGTCAAACAAGGAGTTTTGCTTGGAGCCCCATCCAGTCCTAGTGTTGAAGAAACAGTGACAAGTTATATACTTAATTGAACTTGTGAAAAATAATTAAATAAAAAATAATACAATATACCTGGATATAAACTTATAAAGCAAATCCATAGTTAGGAAATAAGTATTAATTAAATTTACTTCTTGTGTTATATTGGCATTATACAATATGATTAAATATCAAGAACACATAATTTTAATGTTATCATTTATTTTCTCGAAGTAGTATTTATCAGAAGTAAAACGTCGACACAAAATTCATTTGTAAATTGACAGACTTGAAGAGTTAATACGATAACGAAAACATCGTCTGAAGATATTCGGCATAYATGTACTTCATTTTGACATTATTYAAACGAATGGAAGCCTAGGTAATGATTTCAGAAGAAAAAAACAGCCTTAATTGTAAAGCTTTACCTCTCTAAAGCGACATTCAAGCAATCTGTCATCAATATTTCACGTGTAGTCATTCAAACACGAAGGCGATTTTTTACACTACATCGTTTTCTCGCAAACTTACCTACAAATCAGCTCTTCCCATGTATCTGGTGTCCGTTTGCTTGTTACAGTAGTTACATGCTTTTCACATTCAGACATAACAGTTCTCGCTTTCGTGGTGTCGTAAATGATACTCAAATTGCTTGGAGTTTCGACTTCACAAACGTCAATTTCGCCTTCGACGACGATCTTGTCTTCTTCGTTTTGATCCATAAAAAGAGTTTTCATAGGCCTTGCCTTGCTGGCCTCGGGATGAGCAGACCATGGTTTAGTGTACGCGTGATCGGCAAGGATTATTTCGACCAAAGACTGAAGATTTCGGACGAAAACAGCTCGGCTAGGATTAGTCTGTAGCGACATGTTTGATCCTTGTTCCTCGTGTTTCTTGTTGCTCCCCCTGCATTGACTTGTGGGAAATTTCAGTTCAAAAGCACAGGCAACCCAAAGACATCCTCATACCAATCAATCAATCAATCAATCAATGTTTATTTCACATTTCACATAATTTACATATTTATACTATTAAAATAATAATTAAAAATCTGTCTAATTTATGTCTGAAATGTGAGGAGAGCATTAGAAGCCGTACGCCATCGGACGACATTAGTCCAGAAGCTCTGTTCGAACTAGACCCACTATGTAATTATATGGAAATCTTAATATTTTCATTGATAGTATTTTGCTCTTGGAATACACTAACGTTTTCTTCGATAAAATGTTTATATTACTTAAACTATGTCTTAAATCCATGTCAATTAGTCTCATTCGCCTGATGATGGTTTTGCAATAAAACGCAAATATTGCAAAGTTCATTCAATTTTATACGGATTGTCATTCATCCCGCTTCAATTGTCAAAATCATTCACTATATTTCAGATTTAATAATTAGTTGACATTAAATCAATTAAATTTTTAACATTATTCTTTTCCTTCTTGAAACCTGGAAAATCTCTTGGCAACAGCTAGTATCTGCCAAAGATCTTTGTGTATTCAGTATCCGAATACTAGTAATGTCTGTTTGAAATAAGAACTGTACACCTTTTCCTGCGATGATTTGGAAAACAATAACGACAATTGAACAACTGAAAGCCGTCACATTCCATCGAGTACATCGGTATTCGTCCGCAGACCAACACTTAGCACCCATCCCCACCCCCATCAAATAATAAATCCACTGAAGAATGATTATGCAAACCCTTTATAGTTTGCTATCCTGATCTGAGCTCTGATTGGCTCGCTGCTCCCTAAGGATCTTGGTGACGTCATATATTAGCATAGAACTTCACCGAATAGACTACCCCAATTAGATATYWGAYATCTATAAGTGTCTTCATAGTACGATGGTCTAAGAGGGTAGCTAAAGATATGCTCTAGTGGGCGGCTACCCCCTCACTCCCTGGCTTTTTGGTTAAGACTAAGTTTTATGTTCACTCGGGATAACGTGGAAGAGCCGAAATCTCTAACCGTAACGTAAGCCGATTCGACGCCTCAGCTTCATAGAATGTCTCGGGGGAATTCTACTAAAGTGAAAGTCCTGAGTTCGAGGCCTGCTACTGGACTTTCTCTTTTTTGCTTGTTTTATTGTTTCTTTTTCTTTTTTTTTCTTTGCTTTGCCGCGTTGTTACTTTATTTGATTTTCTCTAGAGATTTTCTCTTTTAAAAACATAAACATATCATGTTGGAGTCGCAAGGAAGCAGCGGTCACTCAAGGCAATGACAAAGAGACCCCATAATGCCTTTCGTTGCAAAAATTACACAGCGCAAACGTGCTGTTAGGTTTGAAAGGCACAACTAGCCTACTAAACAGTGTGTTACGACACACAGTGCGTCAAATCTCCCTTTTGTGCTGCGATCTAGCTCTCATATTAATATATGATGTAGTTGATATTGGAAATATCATAACATGTCATAAGATAATTATATAAAATTTTTATTGAAATACCAGGAAATCTCTATATAGCGAATCTAACACCATGTACACTGCCTAAAAAAATTGTCCTATTTCTTGCCTACAGATATAAATTTGAGTTTAATTATATAATAAACAGAACATTACATGCGCRCTTGGAGATACGAATTTTTTCTTGTGTTCAATTGCTCCGCTTCGCTTCGCTCGTTAGCCATCAATATGGAACACCTAAAGATAAAATCACAGGCGTACTGATCTCCATATGTATTATATAGCCCCTGTATATCCTCTATTTAACCTTCACTCTTGTCATAAAACTACGCTGCTTGAATAGTGTTTAATTTGAATGATTTTCAATTTGCTTTAGCAAGAAAAGAGGCAAAATAATAAAAAATATATATATAATATAGTCATATAGATAAACTTCTGTGATTGAAAAAAAACCCTGAAAAAATCACGAAACAAACAAACAAAATATTATAACACTGACATCTTCTCGGCCAATTTGTTCTTGAAAGATGTGTCATTAGAGTTAAAGAGATTTAACGGTCGACAATCTTTACCAGTCCACCTCTCTTTCATGTCCCTTATAACCCTCGGGGGGTCATACAAAGTCTTATTGTACAAGGCGGYGCACATTGCACAAACTCTTTTCGGTGGAACGAGTTTATAAAGTCGCTTCCATTTGAAGTATTTTAAGTACTCAATGTCGTTTTGATTCAAGTGTTTTAAGTACTCGGCGAGCTCTTTCGGTGATTCAAAATCTTTGACATTGATGTATGAGTTTGGGATGAGTGATTTTATGTCGTCTCCTCCGCCCATGACGATTGGAACGACGTCATTTTCAATAGCGTTTTCCCAGTATTTCTCGGTTATGTATTCGTCACAGTCGCCGTTTTCAAATGCCAAATAAAATTTATATCTTTGTAGCAAGAGTCTACATGGAGTCGACCGTCGGGGGAGGGGACAGGTATAGAAGCCRCAATATCCATATACGTCTACTTGGATGTGCCTATTCAGCTCAAAAACATAATTATTTCTTTCTTTACATCTACAGTTACTAACCATCCACGCTACAAGCATGTCCTTGTACCCCAAATCAATCTCGCCACTGTCTTTATCTTTACCTCTTGCAAGATAGTGACCATATGGTGAATAAATCTCAGATGTGCGTCGGTACGTCATTGTCCAATTGAACATCCCATTCAATGACTGAGAAACGTTGTAATTCTTAGGATTTTCCATTGTGAAATAAAACCATATTTGTCGAGTGTTAGTTCTGTTTGGTAATGTTGTGATGTCTGGTCCGTGAAACCCTACGGCATCAGCTAAGGGGAGTAAATCTTTACTATACGTGATTTCACAGCGGTTGAACTCACAATGATCAAAAATTGATCTTCCCGGAAGCAAAGGCGTTCTCTGAGTTCCAGGTGAATAGTCATTCCAGTGGGCGCCAAAAAATCGCGTGTAAAGTAAGATAAGCTTGACTTCCCGATCTGCTCTCTTTTCCACGAAAGTACTTTCTTCTAATTCAAACGCTGTACTGCTCTTATTTAAGCAGTTTTTATAAAGAATACTCAAGCGAACCAAACAGAARCCAAAACATGCCAACCCGGCTATGTGAGATATTGTGGAGATTTTAACTAAACCACGAAGCATTATYAAGGCRGTTGTTTTGACTGCTTTGAATCTGAAGTCAAAGTACGCATCGTCTAAAAACAAAGACTGAATCTGATCACTAGAAAAACTGGTGCTAGACAGGTACTTTTGTTATTTTTTATTCATCAACGCGTGGGCTTTCAATCATTTAATTAAGTTACTATGGTTTCAGCAAACTTTCCCGTGAAAAATTTTAGTTGTTGACTCATCTTCAATCTTTTTATGAMATTAATTTTAGCATCGCGCTATACTGATATACTGCGATCAATCTTTTACGAGAGATCAAATGTAGTCTCTTGATTTGGATAACCTTCGCCCTATCGTTCAACTATGGTGCGACTAGGTTCGTAGTAACCTAAAATACGTAAAAGAGCAGGCCAAACAGAGCATTAGTCACTACTTACTCTGTAAAAAAAAAAAAAAAAATAACAACAACAACAAATGAAAACCGCCTCTATGAAATAAAGATCGATGTCTCAAGATCTAGTAGTTGACTTGAAGAGGTCACAAAATTCAAAATATTCTTGAATTACACCTTTTATAGTAGACCGGCATTTGAAAACATTTTCAGTGATAGCGTCAAACTAATCATGATTTTTAATGAATCCCTTTTGTGTGCAATTGTTACCGGACTTACCGCATTTCTCCCAGCAACAGGAACCCAGCATTTCTAGCCACGGACACTGACCTGCCAGCGAAAAATTCAATTCTCATGCAATGAAAATCATAAAAAATAATAACTTGCGCGTCAGTCCGGCATGATGCTGGTCAGGACTAGTCATAATCGCATTTTCTATAATAACCTCATGAAAGGCTAAGGGTTTGGATTTTTTCAATCTAATTTGTTTCCTACGTAATACCCTGAGATCTTCCCAATCCTTTGCGCCGCTATGGAGGCTAAAGAGCATGGGGAGTAACACCGAGCAACGCCTGGTTGAAATGAGCCATTTTGGTCGAGCGACGAAAAYATTGAAATGGCGGGAGTTAGGCATTTAAAAGGTAAGACCAGTCAAATTGTCTTGTTTTCACAGCAAAATTGATCAMTACGCTTGGATTTCGTGATTTTGAGCTTGTATGTGATTTTTATTTTTTTATAGTAAAATATTGCATATAAAATAAAATGCTGTGTATTATTTTCAAATTCTCAGCTGAATTTGCTTTGTGTCACTTTTTAAATTACTGCTCCAGCTTTGATACCGTRTATTATTGTTTATAGGCTCGATAATAGAGTTTTGGAGCTCATTTCTTTTTGGGTAAGTTATGTATAATTTTTTAATTCAAATGAATGAATGGTTCAATATTAACAATATTAATACCCTGATTCCCATGAGATTCAAAAGATAATACGACCAGTGGCCATGTTGGGGGGAATGAACAATGGATACTAATGAGAAAACCTTTGTTAAAAGCCCTCCAAGATGGCCGCTGTGACKTAAAAAATAAAGAAAATGAAGAATACAATGTAGTTACGGTTATCCCGTCGGACGGAAACTACAAACATTTGTGCGAGTGTTGTGTAGAAAATAAGTGCAGTACTGAATTGTATGAATTTCTTTGTTTTCTATTTTGTCCTCTATGGCTTTGACAAGCATCTGTCATTCAAAGTTGAGACATCTTGCTGTAAATGCAGTGTGATGTGAAACTGCCAAGTTTGCATGCTTTCTGCAATACAAGCTCATCCTATAGGGTAGAGAAGCATTGAATTTACAAGCATATAACAATCTGAACTATTTGGACACATGACTGCAAAGACAGTATAACTTGATCAATTTGTTTGTTTGACAACATTAATCAAGAAACATTAACTTTACATTTTTTATATTTCTCTATTATGTGAGTACGGCTTCATAGTTGAGTTGACAAAGTCCATGAGGCTGTACCTAAATTAACAGTAGTTTTAACATAAAGGCAATACGATATCTGTGCAGATCAACAATCAGTTACATTGGCTTATTGAAAATCAATTCTGCATATGAACAAAGTAAAAAGGAGAAAGGATATGAATCAAATGATCTGGACTTGCTGTTCAACTGTCAAAAAAGCATTTGGAGAAAGATTATCTTGTTAAATGGTAAATGTATTTTGATATTACTTGTATGTAAAAGAATTTCAGTTGAGTTTTTTTGAAATAGATCAATCCATTGCCAATTTTGATTATATTAATAAAATTATATTAATTTTTCATTTCTCTGTTTAATATGCAAACCCGAACATACAGGCAGCTTTAGTTGGATCCAAAGTTTTTTGAAAGACTTAGAAGCATCATTCTGGCAAGAGAAAACAACTAAAGAAATATCCAAAGGTATTTTGAATTCAAATATTSYGGTTTTTACTTATTGAACAATCTTTTTGAGACCCTTGCCTCAWCTCACACTGCYTACCCTAAATCCCTCCCTCTATCTAMATTGGTATTTTATCCCTGTTTTCTTTCATCMCTTCCTTTATTTTTCATTCCTTCTTTCCTATGACAATACCTTTCTGTGAGGCTGCCTTTATTTCTCCCTTACATCGTTTTCTATTTCACATTTTTTTATTCAATGCTAATTATTTTTGTTTATTTTTACCATATTATGGTTCAGTGCTATCATCCCAGTTGGCAAGACAATCAGGTTTAACATCAATGTCTTTAAAACTACTGCAAGAGTGCAATACAAGRCAGTCACGGTTACTCTTAACTGACATAATTGGAAGATTAGGTGTTATYAAAGGTAAAAGAAAGCYAATCATTATTYCCATGAGACTKTAAAAGTAAACCTTACTAAGYCATCCCCAGTTGCCTCTTTCTTATGCACTATATATCATAGGAAGACACACACACAAAAAGAAAAAGAAAAAAAAAAGAAACAAAATATGAGTCAGATAATCTCACGTCTTTGCATTGTTTTTGTACGGGAGAGAATGGGGATGAGTCAGTAAACACTATAAAGTCATTGCTCAATCATTCCCTTTCTTAGACAAAGATGTAGAGGACATTTTATCATCTTGTGATGAAAGAGTACTCATTGGTTTAGCAAGGCTCCCTGATTGCAATAACAATTTATTTGAGTCCCTTAATACTATAAAGGTAAATGCAATTTGCACTTCAGATATATTATATCTACAGCTTTCGACAAAAATATTCGAAGATGTAGCTGCGATRATATTCCCCYACCTCTGTTTCAAAGTTGGCTCTCATCTTGTCAGCCTGTGCTTGTTTGTTAGCCTGTGTTACATCCGGAATTTCTGTCTAATTAGACAGAAATTCCGGATGTAACACAGGCTACTTGTTTGTGAGAATCCTAACTTTGACTAGGGGGGTGAGGGTGTTCACAAACATTTTGTTGAGGGCTGTAGGTACTGGCAGTACAAAGGCAATATCCTTATACACTTACAGTGTATACATTTTCTGAGAAATACTTTGAATCACTATTCTCAGAAAGAAGAAATTARTGATCTTGGAAGCTCAATGGAAAACCAACTGAGGACACTTTTACTAAGCCTACCCCTGCAGGGAATGGATTCCTGCACTAAATGGTTTACAAACAGTGCAATCCACATTGGAAAATCTTGCAAAAAACACAAAAGGGTAAGTTTTATTATTTTTTATTGTATTTTATTTTATTTAAAATGCGGCGCAATTTCCGAGTAGTGCAATCTCTCTTTCTTAACTATTAATAATACTCATGATGTTTAATAATGTTTTGATTTTTTTTCTCAATTCAAAAAAAGAAAAAAAAAAAGAAAAAGAAAAAGAAAAAAAAGAAAGTAAAGAAATAAATGAAATAAAATTAGGCAACAACAACAAAATGTACACAATTAAAGTATCTTTACGTGATATCAGATTATTCAAAAATAAACGTCTATTTTTTAGTTTCCAACAATTAAAATTTTATGTTTAAACCGCGTAACTGTAGTCACCTTTTGTAATGAAATGTCCATCCGACAATCTTCATTCGCCGTTCTCCTAGACGTTT